GAGTTGTGAACTTGGACTTGTGAGCCTCCTTCCTTAGCCTCCAGAGTAGCCGGCACTGCAGGACTGTACCACCACGTCCACCTGGCATGGAAAAGTCTCTAAGGAAATAGGGAGCAGGAGCCCCACCCAGCAGCCCCAGGAGCCTCCCACAGCTGGGGTGGAAGTGTGGCCTCTGCACAGGTGGCAGTGGCTTTGGGGAGTGAAAGGACCGGGACAACAGGCCCAGCCACATCCTCACATGCCCGCCCGCCTGCTATGTTCTTGGCCTCTGCCCAGCTCTCCTCCCACGGCCAGCTGGGCCAGCCCATGGTGCAGTCCTTTCCTAAGCCCCCACTCAGGGTGGCACCCGGGCCAGGGCCAGGGCCAGGGCCACAAGGATGATTCAGAAGTAGGATGGATCATCCTCTGCTGGCTGCAGGCTGTGGGTAGTGGGCATAAGGAGGGGACCCAGGAGGCTTGTGCTCTAGAAACTCAGGGCAAGGTGCTGCAATGGAGAAAGAAGCCAAAGCAGGGGTGGTGGTACAAGCCGGGGGTCCTATCACTCTGGGGCCGAGGCAAGATGATCCCTACTTGGAGGCTTGGCTGGTCAATTTCATAACCTAGTGTCAAAATAAGAAAAAGATCTGGGGATTGAGCTCAGTGCAAAGGTTAAATTTCCAGTGCTGCAAAAACTAACAAGAATCAAGGGTGATTTCCACAGCAGGGAATCGTGCATTTGGTCATTTCTTTTCTCTTTTCAGGTAGTGTAAATTGGACCTGGGGTGTTTGCACTTACCTGGGTCCCCAGTCTTTTCACTGATTTTTAAATTTTGCAACAGGATTTCACTAAGTCACAAAAACAAAGAGAAAAAGAACGAACTACAAGTGAGTAAAGGATGTGGACAGACATCCCTACCTTCAAAGAAGATATACAGATGGCCAGGAAGTCCACAAAATGCGTGGCAGGGTGGTACGTGCCTGGAACTTAGGTAGATGAGAGGCTGAGGCAGAAGCATTACAAATTCAAGGCTACCTGAGCAGTTTAGCTACTTGCCATGTCTCAAAATGAAATGTAGAAAGGTCAGGAAGAGCTCAAGGGCAGAGGCAGTGAAGCCTTGAGTTTAATCCTCAGTCTTGAAAAAGAAAAAACTCATAAAAGTATGTTCAACATCATTGTTTTTATACAAAAGTACACATAAAACCCACAATCACATAAAATTTCACATTCAGTAAGATGGCCACACTTTCTTTGTTTGGCTTTTGAGATGGGTCTCACTATGCAGATCAGCCTAGTCTTAAGCTCATGGTGATCCTCCTGCCTCAGCCTCCAGAGTGCTGGGATCTCAGGCATGTGCCACCACAGACCTGGCCATACAAATCCTGGAAATTCCCTGGCCTGTTTTCTCCAAGAAGCAAGTGACAGAGCACAGTGATGGGTCAACTAGCAATGAAGAGTGTTTGGTTGAAAGAGGAAACAGCCTTTGAAATACAAGATGCTTTCGTGCTTGCTGTTACCTCCCTCGAGCAGGCTTCCTTGTCCCAGCCCAACGCCCCCATGGGCTGGGACCAAGGCTGCTTACTGCTCTCCCACAGAATGGGGCTGAGATGGCCATGCTAGTGCTGGGCAGCAACTGCAAATACACATCAGCCTCAGCAAGGGGCTCTGGCTGTTTATAAAGTTCCAGCTCAGAGCTCCTCTCAAGCCCCCACTTGGCAGGGGCAAGATGATTAAGCTGCCTCTGCTGGTGGCTTTAAGTCAGGATCTAAATGAAATTACAGTTTGGTGTCTGGCTCCCTTAACTCCCAGATGTCACCGTCTGGCTGTCGGGGTCCTGCTGCTTCTGTATTATGGCAACTTGTACCATAATTTCATGGGACATCACCACTCAATTCAGGAATAATATGTGTGTAAATTAACATACACAAATCACCCCAAACCATCTCCCCTCACCTGGTCCATCGAAAGAAAAATTGTCTTCCACAAAACTGGTCCCAGGCACCCAAAAGATTTGGGGCTGCTGATTTAAAACACATAAGAGAGTTGAGCATAATGGTACACACCTATGATCCCAGCACTCAGGAGGCTGAGGCAGGAGGATCATCTTGAGTTCAAGGCTAGCCTGCACTACATGGTGAGACTCTATTTCAAAAACTGAATAAAACATGGAGGAGAGGAGAGGCGAAGGGAACTCTGGCTCTTCTCAGAAATACTCTCCTCCTTCTGCCCGCAGGCAGAATGTGCTCCTCTCTCAGAGGGGAACTTGAACCTCAGGATAAGCAGCTTATCCGACTGAAGCACAGCCTGCTCCGCCTCTCCAGCCTGGGTCACCCTCATGGGACCGTCCCACGGATGCCTTGTGCTCAGAGCTGTCCCTGCAGGGAATGTCACTGGGTCCCTCTCCCAAACCAACAGGCTCCACAGGTGTCCATGGCGTTGGGCCCTGTGCCACCGGAGCAAGCACCCCGCTCAGCTGTTTGTTTTTGGAAACAGAATCCTGAAATACTCCAGATGGGAGCGGCTAGCGATGACAGGCAGCTGGGCCCGCCTTGTCCTTCAGGTCTCTCAGCCCAGAGACTGTGGGTCCCTCTCAGCTCAGTGCTCGACTGAGCTCCAGCCAGCATCGCAACCCTCAGTAGATGGCATGACATTCGGCCCCCAGCCTAACGCCAGCAAGAAGCCAGTAGCCGCCATGCCCTGGGCTCTTAGTAGGGACCAAGATGCATAAGCTTTCAATCTTTTTTTCCCCCCCCAGTACTTGGGGTAGAACCCCAGACCTTCACACTGAACTACACCTCCGCCTTTTTATTTTTGATTTTTGAGACAGGGTCTTCCTATGCATCCTGGGCTGGCCTTGAACACAGGGCAATCTTCCTGCCTCAGCCTCCTGACTGCTAGGATGACAGGTGTGTGCCACCACACACAGCAGATTTGTCTTTATTTCTCTGTAGTAAAGAAGCCGGTTCTCACTTAAAAGAGAACTTGAGAGAAAACCTGAAGTCTGCCCAGGTCCAATAAATACATGTGTGTAAAACCCACCCAGCAGCTGTGTGTCCCACCCTCCCCGCAAGCACCCTAGGCAGGTGATTCACACTCTCAGCCATGATAACTGATAGGCCTGGATTGTGCTGCCCTGGTAAGATAATTTGATAAATTTTAATCCTTAAAAAGCAATTGACAGATGTATATCATCTCAGTTATGCAAAAAGCTTGTATCTCTGGCTACAAATACGCATTAAAATTAACAAAGAGAACTTGAATGTTAACTGTGGTTATACACAGGTCATGGAGTAACGGGTATTTTTACTTTTTTCCTTATGCTTTTCTGTTCTCCAAAATCTTTTGATTTATTTTGTTTTAATTTTTTGAGGTAGAGTCTCATTATGTAGTCCAGATTGACTTTGAATTTGTGATCCTCCTGCCTCCTGAGTGCTGGGATTGTAAGTGTGTATTGCCATGCTTGGCTCCAAAATCTTTGAAATGAGCATAGAATTGCCTTCAGAAGGAGGCAAAGAAAGGTTATATGGAAAAAGCCCAGGCGACTTCTGCAAGAGTAACCATCACTGTACATTAGCCAATGAACTGAAGATGGAAAATATTTTGAATAGGAAGAATTGGAAGAAAACGAGTACTATTGTTTTGTTCATCAGGTGTGCAGGATGTATTGTGTCTGACTTTTTGGTAGTGTTGTGGGAATCAAACGTAAGCCCTGGAGCACACTAGGCGCGTTCACTGCCACGGAGCTGCCCCCATCTCTGACTCTCATTTTACAAAACTGATTAGGAAACCAGATTTGTAGAAAGAACGATGCCATTTGTGAAGCTCACGATACCTCTAAATGTGTCACCCACCAAATGCGGTGTCCAGCACCTGTCATCTGAGCACTCGCCAGGCCGAGGCAGGAGGATTGCCACAAGTGCAAGGCCAGCGTAGACTGGACTGCGTGGAGAGATCCTGGCTCAAAAAACATTACATAAAAAAATAGAAAAACACTTGCCCCAGTCTCCAAGAAGTGGCCTTGCTCTCTGACAGAAAAGGGCAGCACAAATCTCTGCAGGAGGCACCCAGTCTTGGCCGTGCAGCTCTGGGGTCTCCACTGTTCCCGGCCCCACCTTGGCCCTTCTGCGTCCCCATCCAAGCAGGCGACCCGCCCCAAAGTCCCGGCAGCTCCTGCCCTGGCCCGGCCCCCAGCCTCTCGCGTAGCCGGCCGGGTTCCCGTCCGGTTTCAGGTGTCGCAAGGGCTGACTAATGCGCCTCCTGTCTCAATAACAGCCCCGCGCGCGGGTGCCGGGAGTCCCCGCGCCGCCGCCGTCACCCAGCGACCACTTGAGCCACCTAGGGGCCAGGACCGGCGCTCCCAGCTGCCACAGGGCCACAGCGCGGTGTCCCTCGAGGTCGCGCCACAGGCTCCGGACGCAGGCGCCACACAGGTCAGTCGCTGGCTTTCTAGGGCAGGGTCCCCTCAAGCAGCAGCTCCAACCTCCTCCTGTGCTGGCCTCCAGCAACAGCCCAAGGTGTGGCTGTCTGCGCACCCCTTCCCTGCCCCCTCGCCCCGCTGAGCTCTCCTCTCCCCCAGACGCTCTTCCCCGTCATCTCCCCGGAAACTCCACGACTCTCCCCCAGAAGGACGCTGGAACCCTGCCTGGCCAGCTCAGGGCAGAGGAGCCCCGAACTCTTCCATTTGAACAGTACTGGGGGGTCAGACCCAGGGCCTCACTCCAAGCTCATCTTCAGCCCTTTTTAGTTTTTAATTTGAGACAGGGTCTCACTAAGTCACTAAATTGCCCAGGCTGGGCTCTGCCTTCAAATCCTCTTGCCTCAGCCTCCCCAGTGCTAGGAGGTCTGGCGTTCACCATCATGCCTGGCCTCGGTGGAATTTTTTTTTTTTTTGTTTTATTTATTTATTTCCATAATTTTATTGGATTTTTTTGTTTGTTTTATTTTGAACATTTACGGGTTAACATGGGGGTTTCCCCTGGTGATTTCAGCAGGGCTTGAACTGATATCATCGTGCAAACAATGCCACGATTTTTATTTATTTCTTGCGACACTGGTGATCGAACCCTAAAAATCCTGGTGCCGCCGTCACTGGTGCATCTGAAATTGTGCGACTTCAGTTTACTTTTGGTGGCGCTGGAGACCGAGCCGGGCACTGCCACGCTGGGCAAGTTCTCCGCCCCTAATCCCCCAGGTCCTGGCTCGGGTGTGAGCCCCAATCCCCTGACCTCGGACATGGGGCTGGGAAACCCGGGTGCGGGGTCCCGGCCAAGTTGCACTCAGCCCCAGCTCTGTCCTCTCGCCCTCCACCCGGCGGCGCCGCTGCGCAGACGCCCCGGTCCCGCCTCCGCTGGGTAGAAAAGGTGCAGGAGCCGCCACTCTCCGCGGCAGGGCGGGTAAGGCTACACGCTGGGGGAGCGAGAGGGACGGGCTGCTCCGCCAAGAGTGGGGATGGCGGGGACACCTGCGGGACATCCGCGAGGAGGGCGCTGTCGCAGGAGGTGTGGGCACATCGACGAGAAGAGCTTTGGGGTGGCGGAGCGGCCTCTCTAGAGGGCAACAGGCACCAAGGCCCCCTTTCCTTGTTTTTGAGAAGGAAGCTGCTTGGGCGCCCTATCATTTGGGAGGCTGAGGCAGGAAGATGGAAAGTTGGAGCCAAGCTAGGCAACTTAGTAACTTTGTGAAACCTGTCTCAAAACAAGTTATGGGGCCGGGGAGATGGCTCAGTGGAATAAGCGCTTCCCTGGCAAGCGCAAGGGCCTCAGTTCCTCAAAACAAATTATGTAAAATGGGCTCAGGGTGCAGCTTTGTGTAAAGACCTTCAGTCCAGGCAAGGAAAAAAAAATTCCCCTGGAGTCTGCATTAAAAATGGACTTTAGCTGGTAATGCATGCCTGTTATCCCAGCAAGGGGGAGGCTGAGGCAGAAGGATTGACTGGCATTTAAGGCCAGCCTGTACTGCAAAATGGGACCCTATTTAAAAAAAAAAAGTCAATAAATAAAGCTTACTTCTAGTGGTCCTGTAAAGTCCCCACCCTGGCCTCCCCAGGGGTGGCCAAGGGCAGCCTCCTGTTCTCCCATTTTATTCTGGCAGGGAGACCCAAGGACAAGAGCCACACTGGTCAGAGAGGTGGGTGGTCACTTAGTGCAAATGAGTGCCTATTTCTCCAATTTCACCTCCCCAACTTTTTTAGACTTATTTGAGACTGGGTCTCACTAAGTTGCCCCAATTGGGCTCCAACCTTTGATCCTCCTGCCTCAGCCTCCTACAGCGCTGAGAGAACAGGCGTGCGCCACCATACTGGGTTTGGGGAAGATTCACTGAGAGGACAGAGAGTAGGGAGCGCAGACACCTGACATGTTTCTCTCCTGTTCTTTGCTGTGTGTGTCTTGGTTCCACCAGAACCTGGGCAGGAGCACCTGAGGAGCCATGTCTGAGTTTTGGTTAATTTCGGCCCCTGGAGATAAGGAAAATGTACAAGCACTGGAGCGGATGAACACGGTCACCGCCAAGTCCAACCTGTCCCGCAACACCAAATTCACTATTCCGGACTTCAAGGTAAACTCCAGGAGGACAGCAGGAGCAGGGCACAAAGGGGCCACTTGCCCTGGGACACATGGGAGGTAGGGGCACTGTGAAGCCAAGCTGCACGCTTTTGCTTTTGAGACAGATTCTCTCTGTGTGGTCCAGGCTGGCCTTGCACTCACCACATAGGCCTAGTTGGCCTCGAACTCGTGGCCACCCTCCTGCCTCGGCTGGATTTGGCAAGGCTGACGGTCTTATGGGATCCCCAAGCACCAACCTCTGTGTAGCTGTGGCATTCACGGACTTGGTTCCTGGGACCATGACACAGCCTTACCCAAAGGTGTTCACAATACCAGGTGTGGTGATGGCGCACACCTGTCATTCCAACAGCCTGTGAGGCTGAGGCAGGAGGATAGTAAGTCTGAGTCCAGCCTGGGCACCTTAGGGAAATCTTGTCTCAAAGTAGAAAGGATGTGGCTCCGTGCAGAGTCCTGGATGCAGTCACCAGTACCAAAAAGAAAAAAGGTTAAAATCATGTTGCTTGAGAGAAATCAACCTCTCCAAGTATCGGTACCTGGGCTTTGCCATATCAGAACTACGCTGGGGTGTGGGGTGGTGCTGCAGATGAAGCCATCGTGCCTGTGTGCTGGTCACACGCCACTGCTGAGCTCCTCCTGCCTGCCTAACGTGGTCTCCAAGTCAGGGGCAGCAGCCTCTCCTTTCCAGTTCTGGGAAGAGGGCTTTCAATACAATTTGGATACTGCAGTCTTTCCACGATAAGAAACCTCATCAGAAATCAGCCCCAGGGACCTGGGAGATAGCTCAGTAGAATAAGCGCTTGCCTGGCAAGCACAAGGGCCTGAGTTCAATTCCTGGTTCTGAAAAAAAAAGAAAGAAAGAAAGAAAGAAATCAGCCCCAGAGGGCCATAAACTGAGCCCTACCCCAGTTCAATGTTAATAATAGCAAAGGGAGCCAGGCATGGTGGCACACACCTCTCATCCCAGCACTGGGGAAGCTGAGGCAGGAGGCTTGCCATGATCCATAATTCAAGGCCAGCCTGAGCTACACAGCAAGACCCTGTCTCAAGAAGAAAGAACAGGAGGATTGGACTGTTTTGGAGAAGAAAGACACGAGTGTGTGTGTGTGTGTGTGTGTGTGTGAGAGAGAGAGAGAGAGAGAGAGAGACAGACAGACAGACAGACAGACAGACAGACAAGGTGCCGCTAAGTGTGCACCACCACGCCCAGCAGAGCTTATACCTTGCAAGACTTGCTCTCCGATATATCTGTCTGCTTGTAGGAAGAAATGACCTGGGTCTGATTAAGACATCACAGCCCTCCCCAGCGATGGCTCTGTGGCTGCCCGTGTCTCGGGAGCCCCCATGTGTCCCGTTTGGCAGTTGGCCCAGAGTGGCCAGGACTATGTGACACAAGTTCCCCAGGGTTTTGGTTGAAATGGGACGTAAGGATCTACACTGGGAATCCTCTAACTTCTTCCTGCTCTTTCTAGGTGGGAACCTTGGACTCCCTCGTTGGTCTCTCTGATGAGCTGGGGAAACTAGATGCTTTTGCTGAAAGGTAAAACATGCTCTGTTTACTAAACACAAGGAGGAATTTGTTGCTGGGGACATGGTGCTCTTGCTTTGCCTGAGCCAAGGCAGGGACCTGTCTAAACTGGGTCTCAGCGTCATCAGACAGAGCAAGTGAGCTGGGGTGGGTTCAGGCCTGTAATCGCATCTGCTTAGGAGGCTGAGGTGAGAAGATTGAAAGATCAAGGCCAGCCTGGGCAATTTATCAAACCCACCTCTCCTAAAACATGGGGCTAGGGAGAAGCATGGTGGTAGAGAATCTTGGGTTCAATCCTTGGAACCACAGGGGGGAAAAAAAATCGAGCTGGTGCTAGTGTTGCTGTAGCTGAGAGGTTTGCAGATTGTGCTAGGTCCCTTATTGTTTTGTTAGCTGCAGGAAGCATGTTTATTTTATTTATTTATTTATTTATTTATTTTGAGATAGGGTTTCACTATGTAACCCAGGCTGGCCTCGAACTCCTGGCCGTTCTTCTGCCTCAGCCACCCGAGTTCTGGGATGACAGGCGTGCACTACTGTGCCTGGCTCATTTCTCCTCTTTGAAGGCAGTACTCTTGTAACTTTTGAGGCAATCCTTCCAGAGAGGCCTATCCAAGGAAATATGAATACAGCCTTAAAAACAGTTTCAGGCAAACAATAGTGTGCCTTTCTTTCCTTGCTTGGTGACATCTGTTGGGACACTACCTCTTGCTACTGTACATTCCTTTTTTCTTATTTTTTATTTTTTAGGGAAGAGTCTACAGGGTGTTCAGGGTTTCACTACTAGATTGGACTGGGACTAGTAGTGATCCACCTGCTTACAACCTCCCAAGAGCTGGGATTACAGGCATGTGCCACCACGCCCAGTCTCAGTTGCCATCTCAGTGTGTCCCAGGGGTGGGGCCGGCAAAGCAGGCCCAGGGATTGAACCCCTGGCCCCTGTGCCTATAATCTGCTGAGCTATTTGGCTGGCCCTAATTTTTCTTTTTTAGACAGGGCCATTCCACATAAAGTGGGGCTCACTACACACCGATTCTGTTGAGATTACTGCACACTCTTTTACCTGGAACAGATGAGCTCTTGCTGATGTGATTTCTCTATTGTGAGCTAGTCCTGTACTATTATAAATGATGAGCAAAGACTGGTGTGCGTGGCTGTAATCCCATGCTCGGGGAAGCTGAGGCAGGAACATCACAAGTTTAAGTCCAGCCTGGACAAGTTAGCAAGATACTGTCCCAAAAAATTAAAAATAAAAGGCTGAGGATGGAGCTCAGATGAGGGTTAAATCCATGACACTCTGTACTTTACACACATGTGCATGCATGCACGCGCACACGCGCGCACACACACACAGTGGAAATGTCAGGTGAGAGTCTTTCTGGGCAGACTCTATGGCTATGCCCACACTGACAGTTTCTCCTACCCACACACTCACCAAAAGTGTCTGAAAATATCTCAGGCTTAAAATGACGTTTGTTCTCTAAAACAGTATTACAAACTTGATGCATAATTGTTGGGATGCATTTATAGGTCACAGAATGGCATGAACAGAAAATACAAATCGTACATGATTCTGCCACCTGGAGACATGTTTTTGCAGTATGCATCGTGTTTCTGTTTTCTTTTTTCTTTTTTCTTTCTTTTTTTTTTTTTTTTGTGGAACCAGGGATTGAATTTAGGCCCTTGTACTTGCCAGGGAAGCGCTTATTCCACTGAGCCATCTCCCCAGCCCCAGCTCTGGCTTTTTTAAAGCCTCTTTGTGTCTGTAGGTGTTCTTATTTTAACTTTTTTCTGCTCCCCAGGCCAGTGTGTCTCATTGTAGCAGTTAGGAATGGATTATGGGATTAAAAATATGAAATTTGGTGCACGCCTGTAATCCCAGCACTTGGCAGGCTGAGGCAGGAGGACTGCTGTAAGTTTGAGGGAAGCCTGGGATGCACAGTGAGTTTAAGCTAGACTAAACTTATAGTGGGACCCCCATCTCAAAAAATTTAAAAAAACATGAAATACTTCACTGGGCATTTGGTGCACACCGGTCACCTCAGCACTCTGGGAGGCTGAGGAGGGTCACAAATTTAGCCCAGCCTGGGCAATCGAGCGATTTAATGAGGCCCTATCTCAAAAATAAACAATGGACTAGGGATGTAGCCCAGTGAAAAGGCTCTCTGTTCTGTAATCAGTATCACCAGAAAATTAAAAAAATTACCCCCCTCAAGTGTTATTTGATAAATAAGCGGGCTGTGACCTGGGTCTGTACTCCAGCAGGGTAAACCTGCCCATGCCGCCCAAGGCCAGGGCTGTGGAGCCGTCAGGGGGTATTGTTTCCGTGCCCTTTTATTATTTATTTACCTGGGCACCAGCGTGTTTTTCCATATAGCCGTAAGGCAGCTTTGCTGACGAGATCTTCGCTGTTATTTTTGGATTTATTCTTTCCTGCTGTCTCTCACGTACCCAAGCTCACGCCTCATTCATGTACACCTGAGAAGCCCAATGATTTTATCTTTTTTTTTTTTTTTAAGAAGAAAACTCCTGCTGCCCTCAGTGTCCAGGTACTGGGTGGGGGTGAAATGTGCCCTCTCAGCTCTTGGTGAGGCCTCCGGCTTCCGCAGAGCTTTGCTGACCTGCAGCCCAAGGGCATCACTGGTCTTGTGGGGTGCTGGTAGCGTCCCCCTTTTGGTTTTGATTTTATTTTTATTTTCTTGAGATGGGGTCTCACTATGTAACCGAGGCTGGCTCAGACTTGCTGTGATCCTCTAGCCTCAGCCTCAAGCGCTAGAATTACGCCTGGCACAGCCCCCCAAGGGCTGACTGATCACAGTCGCTCTCTGAGGGTAGATGTTGTAAAGAGAAAGCTCCTGGCCTCTGTCTGCACAGAAGGTTCACCTGGGGCCGATCTGGGGACATTTTGTTGGATTCAGTGATCAGACAGCAACTTGACACGTGTGTGCCAGGTGCCAGCTTGGTGGCCCAAAGTCAAGTGTGGCTGTCCTCTCATGGTGGCCATTTCATACTGTCCTCCCTACCCCAAGAACTCCAGCTTCTCCCGGGGCTTCCCCACCCCTCCCCATCCTGGTACCTTCAGATTTCTGTGCCTAGAAGTCTAGGTTTTTTGTTTTTTGTTTTTTGTTTTTTTCTGGAACTGGTGATTGAACTCAGGCCCTTGCTCTTGCCAGGGAAGTGCTTATGCCACTGAGTCATCTCTTCGGCCCCTGTGCCTAGACTTCTAGCACTGGAGAGATCCTGTCTCAAAAATAGAGGAAAGAAGGAAAGAAGGAAGGGAAGGAGGGAGGGAGGGAAAAAGAAAGGCTGGGGTGAAGGTCTTGGTTTAATCCCCAGTAACTTTCCCCTCAAAAAAAAAAAAAAAAAAAAAAAAAAAAAAAACCTCTGAAGAACAACACCACAGTGACATACGCTTCTCATGCTTAAGATCCTCATGTGGCTTTAGGAGTGACATGGAGAGTCACATCTGGTGACTTGTGCAGAAGCACAGGGGACTCTGAGGTCTCAAGCTCTACTGCGGCCTTTAAAGCTGGGTGCATCTGCTCACAGCTGGGACCTCAGGACCCCCAGGTTCTGTTTTCTATAAATGAAGTCACCTCCCATTCGCTGGCCACATGTTCCTGATGAAGGCACAAGCGTTAGTCCCAGGGGGCCATGGAGACCATGGGAGTGGTGAAGGAGGGGTCAGCACTGGGTGGTGCTGTGGCCAGCAGGCAGCGACCCAGGGCCTTTGCACTGAGCTGCAAGAGCCTCATAAAAAGTCTTCCAAGGGCCAGCCAAATAGCCCAGTGGATAAAAGCCCCTGAAAACAGGTGCACGGCATGGGGGCCCAATCCCTGGGCCTGCCATGCCGGCCACACCCCCAGGGCGCTCTGAGATAGCAATTGAGACTGGGTGTTGTGGCATACGTCTGTAATCCCAGCTCTTGGGAGGTTGTAAACAGGTGAATCACTATGAGTCCCATCTAGTAGTGAGACCCTGAACATCCTGTAGACCCTTCCCCAAAATAATAATAATAATAATAAAGTCTTCTAGGGCTGGGGAGATAGCTCAGCAGCATAAGCGCCTGCCTCACAAGCCCTGGTCCCACATGCCATGTCAGCTGTGAAATGTGGCGCACGCCTGTAATCCCAGCACTGGGGAGACTGAGACAGGAGGATCGCTACAAGTCTGAACTGTGTAGTGAGACCCTGTGTCCAATAAATAAAGAGGGAAAAAAAAGTGTATTTAAAAAATAAAATAAAAAGTCTTTGAGACAGAGTCTTGCTAAGCTGTCTAGGTTGGACTCAAACTTGCAGCCTCTATCTCCACTTCCCAGATGACTGGGATTACAGCTGTGGCCTGCCACATACTGTCATGCTGATTCACTGTGTAGCCCAGGCTGGCCTTGAACTGCCCTCCTGCCTCAGCCCCTCGAGCGCCGGGATGGCAGGTGTGCGCCACCGTGCTTGGCTATTCTGTTTATTGTTTATTTTTTAAACTTACATTCAATGCCTGTCATTTCAGCATTGTGGAGGCTGACATCGGAGAGTCACTGTGAGTTTGAGGCCAGCCTGGGCTGGGCAAGACACTGTTGAAAAAAACCAAACTAAACCAGAGCAAACCCATATCGGACTCAGTGCCATCCTACCCCCAAGCACTGTGCTTTCAGCGTAGAACTGATTGCCCAGACTTCTCCCTGCACACACAAGCAGGTGTGTGGCTTTTTATTTTGTTTTTTGCAAAGATGTGATGGTCACTACAAATAGCATTTACAGCTTGGCCCATGATAGTCCTCTTGTGGCAACACACAGATGACCTTCCTTGTTGTCCTTAGAGTCTTCTTAACCCTCCCATTAGGTCAGGTGGCTCCCCGAGGGTGACCTTGAGGTGTCCTTTCACCTGCAGCCATGCAGCTCCTTGGGCACAAGCTCTAGAGCTGGGTTAGCAGAAAGACAACTCGTACAGCTGAAATTATGGGATCAAAATATCCATGCAGCTGAGGGAAGAGGTGCACACCATTGTCCCAGCCCTCAGGAGGCTGAGGCAAGAGGTTGTCGTGAGTTGGAGGCCAGCCGGTGCTGCACAGTGAGACCCAGTGCCTGTCAAAGCACTAAAAAAGTATCTACATGTGAAACTTTTGGTAGATTTTTAGCCAAGTGTAATAGCCTGTGTCAGTGATCCCAGCCCCTGATGCTGGGATCCTGGAGTTGGGGGAATCTGAGTACCCGGCTTGCCTATACCCTGGACCACATGAACTGGTCTCAACTTGACAGTTATTTATAGCCCTGGGGATTGACCCAGGGTCTTTGCACTGAGCTATATCCCCAGTCTATTTTCATTTTGAGACAGGGTCTTGCTAAGTTTCCCAGGTAAGACTTGAACTTGTGACCCTCGTGCCTCAGCCTCCCAGAGTGCTGAGATGACAGATGTGCAGTGGCATGCACAGCTCTGGGTTTTTTCTAGAGACCAGGGGTTTATTTTCCACTGTCCAAGCAGCAGCAGGGGGCGGCAGGGAAGGTTGCACAGAGGAGCGAGCGTTCCTGCCTGCTGAGGGCCAACCCGGCGGGGCCTGGGGCTTGGCTTCTCCCTGCCATCACAGCGCGGGTCTAGTTCACATCCTCAGGGTTCTCTGTAAACCCGATTTTCACAGCTGCCTAACAATCCTGCGGCTGCCTCTCCCATGGAGGCTCCAAACAATTCCCTATTGTTGAATCTTCTGGCTAGTTCCAGTTTTTCACAGCCAGCACCAGCGCTGGAAAGAACATCACAGTATTCAGAAAATGTTTGCTGGTTTTCCTATTTCCTTAAGAAAGTTTCCCAGAAGTGGAATTACTGGTTCACAGGCTGCTAAAGTTTGAAGTCTGTCTTCTTTTTCTTGCGGTCTTAGGGGTGGAACCCAGGGCCTTCCCGCTGAGCTGCATCCCCGGCCTCTTTCGTTTTTCATTTCCAGACAGGATCCTGCTAAGTTGCCAATTTGCACATGCTGGGCTCACACTTGAGATTCTCCTGTCTCAGCCTCAGAGTGTGCAGCTTGGGCTGTTACCTGGTGTTTGTTGACACTGGCAGTCTTTTCCTACAGGCCCCCAGTGACACCCCATGAGAGCCCCTCCACCCCATGTGGGAGTCCCCTGGGGTGGCCCTGTGCTCTTACCCATGATTCTCGCCCCCCCCCAACAGCCTTATAAAGCGAATGGCGCAGAGTGTGGTGGACGTCATGGAGGACTCCGAGGGCAAGGTGCAGGAGAACCTGCTGGCTAATGGAGGTGGGTGTGCCGGGTGCTTTCCCTGGGTGGCCAGAGGAGTCCCAGAACCACGTGAGGGGCCCAGTTGGCTAGCGGCTGTGCACTCTGCTAACTCAGTGGATCTCGCATGCAGCTCCTGCTCTAACCTCAGCATCTGCTGTCTCCTTCCAGGGAACATGGGGTCTCTTTGTCTGTCTGTCTGTCTGTCTGTCTCTCATATTAGAAATAGAACTCGGGACCTTGTGCTTGTCAGGCAGGCACTGTGCTACTGAACTATATCCCTGGCCCTTTTGGGTTTTTAAGATATTGTTATGCTAGATAGTGCAGGCTGGCTTTGAACTCACTGTGAAGCCCAGGCTGGCCTCCAACATGTGGCCATCCTCCTGCCTCAGCTTCCCGAGTGCTGGGGAGACAGGGTGTACTATCATGCCCTGCTAAGTACAGTGTTCCTTACTGTGTCCCTGAGCTCCTCAGTGAGCTCGGAAATGGCGGGGTCCCAGGGTGTCTGAGCCCAGCATATTCGCAGCACACCAGTGCATCAGCCTCTGCTCTCCCAACAGGAAAAACCTCAAGCAGGCAACTCAGGGGTCCGGTTCCCAAAGCTGCACCCCAAACACCTTCCAGCCCTGGATCCCATTCAGAATTTCTGTTCTCTAGGAGATGACTCAGCCACTAATTGTGTCCCTTCTCTTTGAAAGCATTTGAAATGCATGGCACAGGCCAGGTGTGGTGTCATCTCAGCATCTGGGTGGCTGAGGCAGGAGGATCACAGGCTGAGCCCAGCCTGGGCAACTTAGTGACAACCTGCCTCAAAATGAAACATAAGGGCTGGAGATGCAGCTCAGGGCAAAGGCTATGGATACACACACAGTTCTCAGAGCCTTTGGAAACTTGAAAATTAACTGTTGAAATATCTGCAGAGAAATCAGTATCTGCAGAGATAATTAAAGTCACTACATATTTATTGAAAATGAGGGGCCGGGGAGATAGCTCAGTAGAATAAGTACCTGCCTGGCAAGCGCAAAGTCCTGAGTTCAGTCCCAGGTACGGCAAAAAAAAAAAAAAAAAAAAAAAAGAAAGAAAGAAGGAAAATGAGGCCACGCATAATTAAAATTCCTATCACACGTTAGAAATGGAACATGTATACATCTGTTTTTGTCCTTCCTGGACATGAGAAGGCCTTTCACTTGCTGGCTGAAGTTGATTCACGGAAATGTCCGCTCTTGCATTGGACTTTGGCACTGTGGGTCTTTGGGGTCCATTAACTGCACTTTATTACATTGCAGGCTTGAAGGAAAAAATGAAGTGTTTAAAGCGTAGGTTGTGTCCTGTGTGCATGCTGCGTGTGGTGTGATGCTCGAGTCTGGCTGCAGGGTACAGAGATCGGGTTGCGACAGTCCCTCCAGTGATGACCTCACAGCTCCGTCTTGATACCCACACTTCACAGATTGCAGCCATTCTGCTCCTTTCCTGTCCTTCGCCTGCTTCTCCCAAGAGTGCTGCATGCCACCTGGGCTTTGTTTTGTTGCTGGCTGGTTAGTTTTTGAGACAGTGTCTCGCTGTGTAGCTCAGGCTGGCCGCGGACTTTGAGCAATCCTCCTGCCTCAGCCTGCTGGGATCACAGGTGTGCACCACTGTGCCCACTGCAACTTCTCCTTTCCTCATGGGGCTTGGTGATTTGCCTGTGCCAGCTTCTTCTGGAGCTAATAGCTGTTCCTAGTGGGGCACAGAATGAATTAGATGGGATGAGTCAGGGTCCGGGTCCAAGGAATGCAGTCAGTGTTACCTACTCCAAAGACCAACATTGCCACTGTGAGATTCCAAGGCATTTACACCTCTGGCTAAATGGGGGCCAGCTCGCTTGTACTGCCCAGCCCCAGCACCCCCCACCTTGATTTCCAGGTTCTTCCTGGGGACTTGGTCATTGCAGCAGCCTTGCCCTGGGCTGCCCTTTATCCAGCCACTAGCTCCAGAGCCTAGGTGTCACTTCCCCCTTGCCAAATCATTGGCTCTGCTTCCTGTTCAGTGAGTCTTCCTCCTCTGAGGCCCCTTCTCCACCCCGCTGCCCATACCCACCATCATTTCTGTGTAGTAAGTTCAGAGACCTGTGTCCAGTTGTCAGTGCTGCATGCGGTTTTGATTTTTTTTTTTTTTAATGTACTTAGTACAGGGTCTATAGTGTCTCACTACACAGATCAGAGTCATAGTGATCCTCCTGTTTTCAGCTTCCCAAGCACTGGGATTACAGGCATGGGCCACCATGCCAAGTCTCAGTCACTGTCCCAGCACACCCCAGGAGCAAGGCCGGCACAGCATGCAAGGGATCGAATCCTGGTCCCTGCTTCTGCCAAGCAGGCACTTTAGTCTGCTGAGCTATCTGGCTGGCCCTCCATGTGTGGTTCTTGCACTGTCTGTGACCAGGCTGCCCTTGAGTTCAGGCAGCCCAGACTGGCCTCAAACTCATGAAACTTCTCTTGCCTCAGCCTTCTAAGTGTTGGGACGACAGATAAGTACCACCACACCCAGCTGATGGTCCCTTTTCTTATGCATAGGGATGTGCTTCAAAATGAGATTGTGCACAGAACTTGGGGTGAAAGATCCTACCCCAGAAGCTGTCTTTCCAGGGACTGGGATTCTAGGAACCACTTTAGCCCTGAATCACTCACCAGGCTTTTTGGAGAAAGAGGGGATGAGCCAACTGCAGTGGGTTATGCCTGTAATTCCCAGCCACTTGGGAGGCTGAAGCAGGAGGATTTTCATAGTCCAGGTTGTGTTGGTGAACTTGGGAGGAGAAAAGGAACAGAGGGAAGAAAAAAAAGGGGTGGGGGAGAAGGTAGTAAATCTGGGCTATGTCCTCAGTGCTCTCTAAACATCCACAAAACTAGAAAGGAGAGGCATGGGGTGTGGGCGCCCCCAGTTCTTAGGTGTAAGGGCTGACAACCCTGTGAGGCTGCTGAGCTTCACTCTGGCCTCTGGCCTCAAATCTGGGCTCCCCCAACTCCACAGGAGGTGGGACAGGGAGAGAGATTTCTGACGCAGTGGGTGTGGGCTTGGTGTGGTTTGATTTGGTTTTGGAAATGGGCACACTGGGAAACACCCATGTCTGCCCACTTGTGCTTTTGTGCAGAGGCAGGTGCTGGAGGCGCCCCACAGAAAACCATGTGCCCAAACGCCTCTTTAAAACTGTGGTCATTCTAGCACTTGGGAGGCTGAGGCAGGAGAACTGCAAGTTGGAGCCCAGCTGGACAACTTTACTTAGCAAGACCCTGACTCAAAAAACAAAGAGGGCTAGGGATGCAGCTCAGTGTGAAGACCCTGGGTTCAAGCCCCAGCACTACCAAAAATGGGAGCCTGCGTAATGACCAGCAGGGAGCTGGGAGCGAAGCTCAGGCAACTGCAAAGTGGCTGGGGCTGTCTCAGGAGGTCGCCAGATTGGCCTTTTTCACAGTGGGTCCCTTGGGCCACTGCAGAACAGGCTTAAAGACAGAAGTCCCTGTCATGCCACTCTCCCTTTGGCTGCAGGAGTGGGTTGCAAAGGGCTCTGGCTCAGGCTAGTGGCCACGTAGGGTCTGTCCACAGCCCTAGCCATCCCCACTCCTCCCTGCTGTGTCCTGGGCATGCCTGTGAGCCCAACCTCAGGAAAGCATGGGGCTGGTGCTGACTGTGTCATCCCTCAGTTGACCTGACATCCTTCGTGACCCACTTCGAATGGGACATGGCCAAGTACCCCACCAAGCAGCCGCTGGTGAGCGTGGTGGACACAGTGGCAAAGGTGAGATGGGGACATGGTGCTTGGGCTCTCAGGCACTGAGGTGGGAGGCCAGGTTCCAGCCCTGCTCAGCACCCCTGGGTCCTGTCCCCTACAGCAGCCCTGCTGGGCCCCTACCCCAGTTCCCTGCTTTCACTTTGAGATAGGATCTCGCTGACATGCTAAGTTAGTTGCCCAGGCTGGGCTCCAACTTTCAACTCTCCTGCCTCAGCCTCCCACAGTGCTAGGGTGACAGTCATGTACCACCACACCCAGCTGGCTGGTTGTTTCTGATACCTGTCCCTCTCTGTGTGACACACAAGTCACAACTGTGTCCCATCTTCTGTTGGCCCAGTGGCTGGAGAGAAAGTTGTGGCCTGGCAGGAGGAAAGCTGCCCTGTTCTCTGGGTCCCACGGGGCAGCTCAGGGGGAACCCAGGGCTTCGGGTCCCCAACACAAGGGTGAGGCTGGAGGCTCGGAGTCCAGGCGCGGCTCAGGTGGTGCCTGCAGCACAGCCTGGCAGTTCCCACAACAGGAGGCTGAGACCCGGATGCCCTCAAGGACCCTTGCCAGTTGGGCACACGGGACTGCAGCAGCACAGCACGTCCCTTCCCACGCAGTGTCTGGGGCAGCTGTGCCCCGCCCTGCTCAGGACCAGCCCAGATCCTTGAGGCCCAGGGTGTGGGCGGGAGCACATGAGGCAGGGGAGTCCATGGGGCCCGGGTTCTGTCCTGTCCAGGTGCCCAGGGTGAGGGCCCACAGCGGGAGCAGGGGTGGGGACGTTGATGTGTTTTGAGGTTTTGGGATTAACCCAGGCCTTTGACAGTGAACTGCATCTTCAGTCTTTTTTATCCATCTTGAGATAGGGTCCCAAAGTCGCCCAGGCTGGGCTCTAACTTGCAGTCCTCCTGCCTTAGCCTCCTGGAGTGCTGGGGTCACAGATGTGCTCCACCACTCATGGGTCAGGTTTTTTTTTAAAGTACAATAGCTGAGGAGACAGGTGGCTCAGTGGCATAAGTGCCTGCCTGGCAAGCACAAGGTTCTGAGTTCAATCCCTGGTACCAAAAACAAATAATAATAATATATTTTTTAAAAATGTGTTTAGTTGTTACAGAGTCTCATTATGAAGCTCAGACTCATAGTGATTCTCCTGTTTTCAGCCTCCCTAGCACTGGGATTACAGGCGTATGCCACTACACTGGGACTCTGGCCAGCTCAGCCTGCCCTGGGGGTGGGGCTTGTGCAGCATGTGGTGCCAGGGATTGAACTGTGGTCCCTGGGCTTGCCCAAGCTTGTCTAAGTAGGTGCTTTAGTCCATTGAACTATCTTGAGGGCTCCGATAATTTTTTTAAAAAATTAAAAAATATAATAACTGGATGTGGTGATACATACCTATAATCCCAGCACTTGGGAAGCTGAGGCAGGAGGATCATTGTGCGTTTCCGACCAGCCTGGGCTATAAAATGAGCTCAAGGTCAGCCTGAACTGCATAGTGAGACACTCTCAACAAACAAACAAACAAAAGCAAGATCAGGCTCCCTGTGGCTGGAAGTTGTTGGCCCCTCACAGGGCAGAACATCCTTTCAGTTTTGAATCACTGAGGGCCTGGTTGGGCACTGTCACCTCCTGCACTCCCTGGCGTGCTGACCCTCAGGGCTGGAAGCCATGATGTACCGGTGGTGGGGGACACAGGCCGCCCAGACACCAGATACCTGGTGACCGTTTAGTAAAGTCTCTCTGGCCCCTTCAGTCTGTCACCGAGTGGTTCCTTCACACAGCAACTGGCGCAGATCGACACTGACCTGAAGTCGAGGACAGCTGCCTACAATGCACTGAAGACGGCACTGGAGAACCTGGAGCGGAGGTCCACGTGTGTAGCCCCATGCTGGGACAGCGTGCCCAGGGAAGGGACGGCACCTGGGTGTGCCTTTGGTGTTTTGAGACAGGGTCGAACTGTGCAGTCTAGGCTGGTTCTGATCTATCTGCGCAGCCTGGTTGGAGGCCTTCCTGCCTCAGCCTACGGGGTGCTGCTATTTCACAGGGAAGCGCTGTACTGATATACCCTGCGGCTAGGTCCTGGCCCATCTGTGCCAAGACGGCCTTGGAAGCTAGCTTTGTGTTGGCTGTGGATTTGGCCACCGGCTCTGCAGGAGCACCCAGCAGCTCTGACCCAGCCTAAGCCCCATACACTTGGTTCAACCTGGCCCAGGCCTGTGGAGCCTGCCTCCCTGTCCCCAAGCAGTCACTTAGGAGTCTTTGGTGACTAGGTGTGGTGTGGCGTACCTGTCATCCTAGCACTCAGGAGGCTGAGGCAGGAGACTCACCTTGAGTTCAAGTCCAGCCTGGAATACGTGGCGACAGCCTGTCCACCGTGTCCTGGGCTCTGGCATCCAGGCTCTGGAGACTTTCCCCACCTGGCTGGCTCTGGGCTGCGGGACGGGCAGGCCCCTGCTGCTGTCACATGCTGTGTCCACTGTCCTGCAGGGGAAACCTCTTCACAAGGACGCTGAGTGACATTGTGAGTAAGGAGGATTTTGTGCTGGATTCCGAGTACCTGGTCACCCTCCTCGTCATCGTCCCCAAGTACGTGGCCCAGGAAAGAGCTGGGGTGGCCATGTCTTGGCTTCTTGCTCAGTGGAGAGGGCGGTATCCCCCACCAACATCCCTGTGTTGGGTCCTGGGGTGCAGGATGTGGCAGAACTGGGGTCCCTGGCCTTGGGGACACTGGGGCCTGTCCTGGTCATATCCCTGCTGCACTTCAGCCCCTTGGAAAGTGACTGTCTTCCCGCAGGACCAGCTACTCACAGTGGCAGAAGACATATGAGTCCCTTTCAGACATGGTGGTTCCTCGGTCGACCAAGTGAGTGATGCCCAGGCGGCCCTGGTCCCCACAGTGCAGCTGCCGGGTGCCACGCTGGTGCTCTGCAGATAGTGGGGCGCTGGGCATGGGGACACAGGTCGGTCATCCCAGCACTCTGGAGGCAGCAGGATCGCAAGTCTGAGCCCAGCCTGGGCAATCCGACAAGACCCTAGCTCAAAATAGGACAAAAAATAAAATAAAATAAAAAGCACTAAGGATGCAGCTTAGTACTGGGGAAAAAGAAAACTGGTGGAGAACAGGCTAATGCAGTATCCATCTCATGACTCAGCTCCGCCTGGCAGCAGGGAGCCGGGTTGCAGGACCACAGCTACAGCTACTGAGGGGACCAGCGTCATTAGGGAGGACCCAGGGTCAGTGGTGTGCAGTGTGTGCCCACCACCCTGGCTGGGAGAGCGAGTCTGGGGATGTTTGTTGTCCTCTTTCTTGCATCTGAGATGCTTGGGAATTTTGAGGGTTTTTTCCCCAGTACTGGGAACAGAACCCAGGACCTTCTCCTGAGCCCTCTCAAGCCCTTTTTACATTTTTTTTTTTTTTAAATTTAGAGATCCAGATGTGGTGGAGCACATCTATAATCCCAGCACTTGGGAGGCTGAGGCAGGAGGATTGCTGTAAGTTTGCAGCCAGCCTGGGCTATATAGTGAGCTCAAGGCCAGCCTGGAAGGGTCTCACACTCCCCAGCTGTGCTGATTCACACAGCAACCCCCACCCCTACTGCGTGGGGCACAAGGCAGCAGTGGGGTTCCCTCCCTGGAGGCAAGGTGGCCATCCAGAGCTCAGTGAGCAGTGTGAGGACAGAACAGTCACAGCCCCAGGACACAGGGCAGTGCCAGAGCAGACAGGAGCATCTGTAGGGAGGAGGAGCTGCTCTATACCTCCAAGTGCCCCCAGCTGTCCATGGAGCAGGGCTGGGACGCTGGGGTTGGGCACCTGGGAAGACAATTTAGAAAGATCTGGAGAATGGGGCCAGCCCCTCTGGAAGTGGCTCTGAGAAACAGGAGCACTTGAGCTAGTGGCAGCACACACTTGGGATCCCAGCTCTCAGGAGGCTGAGGCAGGAGATTCGCTGAGTTCAAGAACAGTCTGGGCTACATGTAGGATCCTGCTTCAAAATAACAACAACAACAACAACAACAACAACAACAACAACAACCAAAGAAACAGGAGAGGGGACCAGGCCACATGTCCAGAGACATGGGTGTGAGGGTCCCAGTTTCAGGATGGCCAGCGGGACTCGGAGATGCTGGGTCCAGGGGCTCCTATGTTGCTAGGACCTCCACACTCAGGGTCCTATGCTTGGGACATTATGTCCAGTTAGGACCTTTTGAGGTAGGAGGTGACATGGGGTGACTGAGGTCTCTGCCCCCCTGGGAATCTGTGGTGCATGGTGATAGCCATCAGCAGGGACCGCAGGGCTCCACCATGGTGAGCAGGCCTGGAGGGACCTGGCCTCAGTTGCATGGCACTCAGGACACAGCAGAGAGCTGACTGCTGTCACCCCAGACCCACAGAGCTACAGCCCAAGGGAGTTGTGACCACACGCAGCCAGCCAGGACATAAGGGACACAGGGTGCCCTGCGTAGTCGGCTACCAGCCCAGGGGACATGACTGCCCAGTGGAGCAGGGGCCCAGCTCTCCTCGCCCTGGCCTGGGGCGACCCTGGCGATTGTTCCAGTGAAAAAACTTCCCCCAAACAGATTGATTGCGGAGGACACCGAGGGCGGGCTCTTCACTGTGACGCTGTTCCGGAAAGTGATTGATGATTTCAAGACCAAAGCCAAAGAGAACAAGTAAGGGCTGGCACTGTGGGGCCACCTGGGTCCAGTGTGTGTCCCTTTATGGGAGATGTCTGTCCCCAGGGAGCCTCTTTTTTTCTTTTTCTGTCTTCCTTTGTTTTTGAGATGGAGTCTTGCTACATAGTGCAGGCTGGACTTGAATTTGTGGTGATCCTCCTGCCTCAGCCCTCCACGTGCTTCAGAAGTTTCCTAGTGACCATTATTGTTTCTTTGAAGGTTCATGGTCCGAGAATTTTACTATGATGAGAAAGAAATTAAGAGAGAGAGGGAAGAGATGACCAGGCTGCTGTCAGACAGGAAGCAGCAGTATGTGAGTAGCAGGGCAGGGCTGGGGTTCGTGCTGGGCGCAGTGCCCCTCAGTTGCCCGGGCCAGGACCCCTCCCAGTGCCACCTCCCAGCCCAGGATCCCCCTTTCCCCTTGAGCTCTTTGGGGGCCACCAGAGCAGGGCCTGGGGACAGAGTGACATTGCACCCTACTTGGGCCCTGCCCCCTCAGAGGGTTTGTCACCGGCAGCCCGCTGGGGGCAGTGGGTGGCAGGGCCACTCATCACTCCGCCTTTGGCTGTGTGGCTTCTGGGGCATCACAGCACCTGTGTTTACCTCACTGTTGTTCTCAGAGGAGAGTGCGTGCTTCCTGGGGCCACTTCTGGCCGGCCACTGCTACTTGCACACTGGGGGTGGGGTAAGCAGGCTGCCAAGCTCAGGCTGGCCTGGAACTTGCTGTGATGCTCCTGCCTCAGCCTTCCAGTGCTGCCACACCCAGGTGGGTGTGCAGAATAGTTTGGGGACAGCCGCTCTACCACTAGCTGAGGCCAGTGACTTCCAGGCATGGCTTCCAGCCCTTCTCCCTGTTCCCACGGAGGCTGTGAGGGTATCAGGAGAGGAGGGTGCTGGGTGGAAGGCACTCAGTGTCCCTGGAAAGTGGCTGTGCAAACAGTTGCCAGGACGTGCTTGGGACAGGACAAGGGCCACTGGAGTGCTTCCGGGCGGTGGCTGAGTGTCTGCCATACATGTCCACCCACCCCAGCTCTGCAGGGCCCCTGCAGGAGGGCCTCACCCTAGGACTGCACCCTACCTGGGCCACATCTGGTCCTGGGAGGACTTTCGTCCAGTGAGCCCTGGGTTCACTGAGCTGTGTCGCCAGTTCTTTTTGTTTTTCTCTTTGGGATAGGGCCTCATCAAATTGCTAAACTGCCCAAGCTGTGTTTGAGCTTATGATCCTACCTCAGCCTCCCAAGTAGCTGGAATGACAGGTTTGCACCACAGGCCCAGCTCCCGTCAGGGGACTTTGAGCCTCCCCCTGAGCACGAATGCAGAGACACCCTGCTGAGTGAGGCTCCCGTGGAGTCAGGGTGCTGCATCCTTGACTATCCTGTCCTTCGAGCAGTGACACCACAGCAGCCCAGGCAAGACGCTGTCCCTGCCTTGCCTCCGTCAGTGTGGCCTTTCTATGACTCCAAGCCCCGTTCACTGTCCCTAGAGGTGACAGGGCCAGCCTGGGCCCTACGCAGAGGAGAAGCAGTGGACTAAGACCTGCCTGACACTTAAAGTCAGGGCCACACACAAGCACCGTACCTGCCATGTGGGATTGGCCATGGCCCTCCAGGGTCCCCTAAGGGTGGGAAATGGACCCTAACTGGCTGGCCCCTGAGTCCCAGAACTCTGTTCCCTTTTGGCTTGGCTGGAAGCTGATGCAGCCCAGCATCTTGCATCCAGTGTTTAGGGGTGGGATTTCTGAGCCAACTTTCGCTGTGTGGCCCAGGCTGGCCTTGGTCTCATGATCCTCCTGCCTCAGCCTCTGTTTTACGAACATGCGCTGCCATCACAGCTTCCTGCATCCTTCTTGTTACCAAAGAGATGGGCTAGGTCCTGGCACACTCAGAGTGGAAGTGCTCTGCATTTCCCTATGTGAGGGATGGGAAGCGGGCTGTACTAGCTGCACAGTGTGCTTGGCTGGCCCTGTGTGTGGCAGGGGCACACCTGTGAGTGTGCCATGGCTATGTGTGCAGGGACACTGACCACCCTGGTGGACAAGCTGTGCAGATGGTCCTTTCTGTGGAGACCTGTGCTGCCCTGTGTGCCCAGGATGGGGTCCTGACCCAGCCCAGGCAGGGAGCGGGCAAGGGAGTGAACCCTGAGCTGGCCAGGCTGTGGCCCTGACACCTGAACTTGAGGGGGCGAAGGAAGGATTCTGCATATTGTGATGCGCTCGACGATTAATAAATCATTTCTATACCTTTAGCAAAATTCCTGTGTTGCTCTTAAAAAGGGATCATCCATCTACCGGGACCACAAGGTTAAGGGAGCCCCCCTAGGGAGCCCTGCTAGGCTCGCTGCGGGGCAGCCGGACAGAGAGAGAGAGAGTGAGGGCGAGGGCGAGGTAAGCAGCCCCCACCGGGAGCCCGGGGTCCCAGCTCGCAGCTCTGCCGCGCAGGTGTCTTTGGTACAACACATCTCTGCATTTCTTGTGTCTCTTGGGGCTTTGGAGGCCTTAAATTCCAGGAGCTGGAATCGCCTTCCTGAGGGTAACCCTCCCGCAGGGATTGGTGCTTGCTGGCCGGGTGCCTGTGCCCTGGCACAGTGGCTGGAGCTGGTAGCAGGCAGGGCCCTGCTCCCCGGGCTGCCCTGCCCCCTGGCCTTCGTGGGCAGCTGCCCCATAAAACTGGCACACAGGCAGCAGTGGCTGTTGCCAGGACTGGGGGCAGTGCCTGCCATGGCAGTGGGCTCCTCGACAGGCAGCCCTGAGGTCAGGGGCTGCTGGCTGCCCACCCTGGGCCTTGGCGGCCCCTCGCATGCGCTGGTGGCTACGCGGACTCTGCGTCCTGAGCCTTGCCGGGCCTCCCTCCCTCTGGTGCTTCTATGGCTCCTCAGCCGGTCCCTTCACCCAGGACCTCCTTGCCTGGCAAGAGGCCAGAGGTCCCATGGTCCTTCCTCTCACCTCCACAGGGCCCACTGCTGCGCTGGCTCAAGGTGAACTTCAGCGAGGCCTTTATCGCCTGGATCCACATCAAGGCCCTCAGGGTGTTTGTAGAGTCTGTGCTCAGGTGTGCAACCCAACTGTCCTGAGGGTGGGCGGGCACCCCCCTCCAGCTTCCTGTCTGGTTCTCGGGATCCTGGCTGCTGGCTGGCAGGATAGACCCTGGACATGGCAGTGCAAGCCTGTGAGCCCAGCACTCCAGAAGGCTGAGGCAGGAAAATCACAAATTCGAGCCCAGCCTGGGGAACTTGGCAACTTAGTGAGATCTCACCCCAAGAATAAAAGTGCTGGTGGAGTGCAGAGGTCCCAGATTCAATTCCCAGTATTCGGGGAAAATAAAAGATACAAGACTCAAACAGGATGGGTGCTGTGTGAGCTTCAGGCCATGTGGCGACCAGGTAGCTAGGTGACAGCCAGATAGCGGGAAAGCAGAGGTCACAGGGTGTCACCATGGTAGGTGTGGGGACAGATGACCCTAGGAGAGCAGAGGGGCAGAGGTCACCACTGACCCAGCTCCGGCACTCCCGGAAGACATGGTGAATTTGGGGCATTAGTCTCCCCTGTTCACTGGAGCTGCTTCCAGCGTGGATCTGGGGTCCTCATCCACCCCAGGTGACTTGGCAGGGATGGGGGGGTGGGGTGAGCAGGCTGCTTGAGGGCAGGGGCTGTTTGGAGCAGAGGGGAGAGTCTGGGGCCACAGGGGGAAGTTAGGTGCTCGACCCTTGTTCCCAGCCTGGAAGGTGGGTACATAAGCCTGCCACGTGGAATAGCTGCACGTATCCTAAGCATTCCAGGGTGCTAAGGGACACTGCTGTGAAGGTGAGGCAGGTGACCCCCACATTGAAAGAAAATCAGAAGGTGGGGGTCAGCCAGCTGGACCGCTGTACTCGGGCACACATCCTGTGTCCGCAAGGCTGGACTAAGGCTCAGTGTACTGCAGTCCCCAGTTTCCCCTTACCCTGCTTTTTAAGCTCTAATAGCAAACTCTGCACCCCTAGGATTCTTTGCGCACAGTGAGGACAGAGGTCTAGGAGGCAGGGCCACATGTGGCCCAGGAGATGAAACCATACAATGCCAGCAGCTGCCCTGGACTCAGGGTCACAGCAGGGCCTGGGCTTTGTTTTTGAGACAGGGTCTTGCTACATAGGCCAGCCTGGCCTTGAACTTGTAGATCCTCCTGCCTCTGCCTCCTGAGTGCTGCAATGACAGGCGTGCCACACTGACCTCTTGCCCTTGTGCAGCAGAGCTGGGTCTTCCACACACTGGGATCACCAAGTTCAGCCCAACCCATCTGTATCAATACTGCTGGGGGACCAGGTAGTGTTGGCCCAGTGGCAACTTCTGGGGCTTGGTCACAGCGGTCATCATCTGCAGGGTCAGCCTGTCCTGTCACAGCCTCTCCTAGCCAGACAGAGCTGGTCATCAGTCTTGTCCATGACTTTGGCCATTTTGCCTGAGTTTCTGATTTTATTCCCACACTGGGAACTGGTAGGGTCTTGCACTGAGCTGCACCCTCAGCCTTTTCTCAGTTTTTCTTAAGAAAGATTCCTCTTAAGGTGCTCGTCCAGTTGGGCTTGAACTTGGGAAAATCTCCTGCCTTTGCCTCTGCGTGCTGATGCGACAGGGTGCAGGTCGCAACCTCTGGAGCTTCCATTCCTTATTTGCTTCTGTCTACCGACAGGTACGGGCTGCCAGTAAACTTCCAGGCTGTGCTCCTGCAGCCACAAAGGAAGTCGGCCACGAAGCGCTTGAGGGAGGTGCTGAACTCAGTCTTCCGACACCTGGATGAGGTGGCAGCTGCGAGTACCCTGGATGTAGGTACAAAGCCCACTGCCAGTGGTGTGGCCAGTGTCCCTTACATGTTTAAATCACCTGTCAGGAGCCAGGGAGATGGTTCAGTGGAATAAGTGCTTCCCTAGGGCCTGAGTTCAATCCCCGGTTCCGAGAAAAAAAAAAAAAAAGCACTTATTAGCCCACTGGAAAAAGCCTGTCACCCATGGAGGCCAAGTGTACAGCAGGCAGGGAACACGCAGGCGCCAAGTACAGACCGTGTCTCCTCCTGCAGGTCTCTGTGGAAATCCCAGGGCTGCAGCTCAGCACCCAGGACTACTTCCCCTACGTGTACTTCCGCATCGACCTGGGCCTCCTGGACTAGGACCCTCTGGCTTCCTGCAGGGCAGGTGGCACTATGGCCATGGTAGCTGCTGGCTCCAAACCCTGAGATCCTGATTCCCATAGATGGAAGTCAGACACTGTGTATTTATTTTTTTAAGTTATAATAAAATGTCAGGCCTTTGGGCTGTTTCTAACAGAATCTGAATGGTTGCCTTCTGAGGGTTCCATGGTACAAACTGCCTGTCGCAGGGGATGGCTCTCTCCCTGGAGCTGTGTGGATGTCCCCCGTCTGCTGGAAGAGTCTGGGGACCTCAGGACACCATAGGCTGCCACCTACCCAGACAGCAGCATCGGGTAACCAAGGGCTTCTCTCCTGTTTGAAAAATGTTTATGGAGCCAGGTGTGGTGGTACATGTCTAATCCCAGCACTCAGGAGGACCTTTACAGGGAGGAGAGACCCTCACATGGGCTGAGGTTCACACATAATTTACTGGCTCCAGGCAGTGATGTGGATACCAATTCCATACATTTATCAGCATTGTCCAAAATATCGTTTTATTCTTTAATGGAAAAAGCCATTAATATCCCAATAAAGGAATCACATTTTAAAAAACCTACATGTAAGAAACAGGCTCCGGGAACATTCAAGCAGCAGTCAGGGAGAGGGAAACTGTCAACAGCCGTTTTCTTCAGAATATCATGCGGCAGAGCATACCAGACCTGCTGCTACAATTCAGAGTTTTTCAGTGTGTTGAGATACGAGGTGCACAGCCACAGTGCCTTCCAGTGGCCAGCCAGGGCCCGGGGAAAGGCCACCAGCAAATCCATGTGACAGGGCTGCACCTGCACTGCTAGACAAACCCGCTGGCTCCCAAGGAAAAGAACCAGGTCGTGGCTTGGACGCGCCTCTCACAACTCGTCCTTCTCCAAGTCATCCAGCTCCACATCGCTGAGGTCAATGTCATCCTCCACGGGCAGCTGTGTCAGAAGCCATGGTCAGAGGGACACAAGAGAGGCCCAGGCTGTTGGCAGGGGGCCCAGGCTGGCTCCTGCCTTGGCCCCAGCTCCCACTGCCCACATGCGAATGCCCAGGACTTGGTACTACATGGCTTTTTAATTTTTTGGTTTTCTGAGACACTGTGTATCCTAGGCTGGCCTGGAAGGATTCCTCCTGCATCAGCCTCCTAGGTGCTGGGATGGTAGGAGTGGACCACCATGCCTGGCAGAAATTCTGATTTGAAATTTAGCTGACAGTGAGAGCAACCTGACAGCACTGCTGCCAGTGACCTTGAACTGGGGTGCATGTCCAGACCATCAAGTGCATGCAGCACCACAGAGTTACCCATCTGGCCATCAGTTACCCATCTGGCCCGGGCGCTCACCTCACCATCCTTGCCATCCCAAGGCTCCCTTGTAACGATGGCAGGAAAGGCACCGCCACCCACAGGTGCTGTAGAGCCGCGTCCAAAGGACAATTCCCTGGAGAGACAGCAGGACACATTAGATGATGAGTGGATTCGGGGGCAGAGGCGTGTCTGGAGCGTGTGAGGCATCAGCCCTAGCATCCCCTCAGCACAGGCACTGTGGAGTTGTTTTTATTCTAAGACAGTCTTGCTAAAGCATTGAGTGACCAGGCTGGGCTCCAACTTGCCGTCCCCTCCTGCCTCAGCCTCCCGGTGCTGAGAAAGCGGGTGTGCCCCACCACGGCCGGCCTACTGCAGTTTTATACACCTAGTTTCCAGCCAAAACCCACAAAGGAGCCAACAGACACCAAACTGACCACCCAGAAAGTGGGGGGTTACCTGAGGAACTCATTGATGCCCTGCTCACTGAAGGAGCCCTTGAGCAGTGCGAACTTCATCTTGCGCGCGTTGATGGCGGCCATGGCTGGGTACCCGAACCCGCCGATGCCCAGTGCGCTTTCCAGCTCGGGCTGTGCGCCTGCCTCTGTCCACAACCACCTGCAAAAGCAACAGCCATTGGTACAAAGATGACTTTGAGCCAGTGCAGACAGCATGTCGTGAAATCCCCAGAGTGGATGGCTCTACCCTAAGACAGCTTTGTCCTCAGACCCTAAAGCGCGTCAACTCCACCAAGGATTGCTGTGCTTTAGCCTGAGCCTCACCAGCACCATCTGGTCTACGTGCACATGCATGCCTCTCGCCAGCCCGGCACATGCAGATCATCGAAGGGCAGGGTCCCTGATGACAGCAGGGCTGCCAAGCACCTGGGAGAGCTGAGGAGCAGCACGATGAACAGGAAGGACAGTGCCTAGACCCAGCCCTCGGGCGGCTCTGTCCTCCCTCTGTGCTCCACTTGCAGCCTGTAGCCTATCATACTGCCCTATCAGGACAAGAGACATCCCTGCTCTCAAAGGTGGTGCAGGCCTGCAGGGCACATATACCTGTGGGTGAGAGGGGGCTTGGCAGCAGGTGGTGGGCACTGGGTGACACTTCCTGTGCCTGTCCTGACTGCCAGTTGAGTGCTTCTGCCAGCCACGCCCTGGGTTCCCCCAGGGTGCTACCGCCTTGAAGCAGCCATAGACTCTTCCACCTTTAAGGTGCTTTTCTCGGGTATTTGGTTATACTGGCAAAAATCTAATGCAAACCCCAGCCGTCACATACATAGGGTTCTAAGAGGATCGGTGTGCTGGGGAAGTGGTCACAGTGTAGACATCCCAAGTCTCATACTGAGCCATGGCTCTGGAGGCTTATGGACCAGGGGGCGCTGCGCTCATCGGTGAATTCACCAAGATGAGGTCACAGCTGACTGCGCTGTAGGAGGCGGGGCCTGGCTGGAGGAGTTACACGCTTTGGGGTATAATCTGGAAGCTCTTTTTTGTTGTTGTCTTTTGTCGGTACCAGGGATTAAACTCAGGGACTTCGCTTACTCGACTGAGCTATCTACCCCCCCTTTTGTTGAGACTAGGTCTTGCTATGTAGTCTGGAACGATGTAGCCTCAGCTGCTTAAAATCACTGCGATCGTCCTGCTTCTGCCTGCCAAGCGCTAGGCCTACAGGTACGCGCCACCAACCCAGCCTGGAAGGGTGCATCCTTATTTCTAGCTCACCCTCTCTGCTTCCTTCACCAGGCCCTTCCACCATGCCTGTCCTGCCGAGGAGCAGGCAACCAGAGACTGAATCCACTAAAATCCTAAGCCGCACTAAACCTTTCCTCTTTTAAGCTGTGGTGTCTGATACACAAGCTTTGCATAAATAAAAACTCTGCCTTACTTCTCTTCCTCAGGAATAACAACTCTTTTTCTTTCTTAAATAAAAACACAGTGAGCATCACAGGTTCTGTCCACAGTGGGCAGAACCCAAGGGCACTGCCTCCAGGAAGCCCACCTCCCTTCCCCTCACGACAGCAGGGTCCCTCCTCACCCCCACATTTTCTTCTTGTATTTGTCTGCCAACTTCAGAAGAACTTCCAGGTAAGAGTTCCTGCCCGCCGCACCTGATGGAAACAAAGGGGATGTAAGGGAAAGGAGAAGAGGCCTCCACAGAGAAGACACTTGGGTGTGCCACGGCTCCCCACTCACCGGTGTCCAGGATGTGGGGCAGCACTGCCACCACGCACAGCTGGTGCTCCTCACAGGTCTTCTTGGCCACGTCTTCACTGATTATCTGTGGAAAGGGGGGCTGGGCTGGAGTGGGAGCTGGAGACACACTGACTATGGGGCTTGGGATGTAATCCTTTGACTAGCATCTCCACGACTGGAGAGAGACACAGAGGCTGGACCCAGGGGCACTTCCTGCACAGAAGCCCCGGCAAGGAGCTCCGGCCCTCTACCGCTAAGCTCCCATCCTGCAGACAGAGCAACAATGGCCATATCTCACGCAGTTCAGTGAGCTCACAGCCAGCCTGAACTACACAGCAAGACCCTGCCTCAAAAACCTAGAGGAAGAAAAAGCTTGATGGGAGCAGACAAGGATTACCTCCAGCAGCTCTGGAGGCGGGGCGTTGTCAGAGAACAGGTCCAGGGCCCTTGAGACGATGTCAGACCGCGTCCGCCCACCATCGTAGTCCACGGGGGCCTCACCTTTCTGGAAGATCTTGATTGTGGGAAATCCCCTGATCTGTTAACAAAGCATGAGGTCAGATGAACACTCAGTGCAAAGAAGTCACACCTCTGTGCCTGCTAAAGCCACCAGAGGAATGCCCAAGCACAGCCAGGCCCGCAGGATACCCAAGGGGCATGTACCCCACCAAGCCCAATCCCTGATGTTTGACATGGATGTGCAGTACACAGAACACTTTCAGAGGCCACAGGACAACTGGTTGAAGCTGGGGCAGCTGTGGACTCCAGGGGGTGACACCAGGAACCAGGAGCCTGAGTCTTGGCCTGGAACTGTGATGGTCAGCACATAATGCCACCCCCACTTTTTTTTTTTTTTTGCAGTACCAGGGACTGAACTCAGGCCCTTGCACTTGCCAGGCAAGCACTTATTCTACTGAGCCATCTCCCCAACAATGCCCCCTTTGAAAGGCTTGTTGTCCTCCAGGGCAATGTCCCTGGCACTCACCCCATAGCGGCTCGCCAGGACCTGGTTCACAGTGGCATCCACGGCTGCCAGCTTCACTCGGCCTTTCGTTTGCTCCTTCACTTCTGTGGCCGCAGCAGCCCACTCTGGTTCCAGGCTGGAGAGAGGATACCCAACTCATGGCTAGGGACCAGCCTCATGTGTCCCCACCCAGCCCACTCTGTGTCATCCCTGGAAGGGTCTCAGGAAGCACCATGCAGGAAGGACATGGACAACAGCGACACTCATCTTCCAGGGCCCGTGCCCACCCCAGCCACACCAGGCTTTCCTGAGATGTCCTGACAGGATGGGACGCCAGGTGTGAACGAACACCTGGCTCTCCTTGTGAAGCCCCACATGGCATCCTGGCAGCACTGGGCAGACAGAAGGTGGGAGTGCTTACTTTTTGCAGTGTCCGCACCATGGGGCGTAGAACTCCACCATCCACACATCAGGGCTGTCCAGCACGTTCTCGTCAAAGGTGTCATCCGTCAGCTCAATCACATCCTTCTTACCTGAGCCCTCGCTCCTGCCCTGGCACCAGATGCAAGCATCAGACCTCAGTGGGGCACCGAGAACCCCACTCTCTGTCATGGTGCTCCGGAACCACAGCTACCAAGCCTGAGTGTCCTCTGGGCACAGCACAGAGGAAACTGTCCCAGCCTCCCATGGATGCCAGAGCAGCAACATGGTGCTGTGAGGCCAGTGACTGCTCCCGACAGCACATACCACGTGCTGTCGTAGCTCAGTGGCAAGGTCACCACTCTGAACTCCTGGGGAAAGCGGCCTCCCACAAGGAGCACACGGCCAGCCCCATCCCCACCTCACCTGCCTCCCTGAGCTGTGGCCTCCAGCGCGGCCGCCCAGCCTGTCCTTTACCAACTGCCGCACGGCACTGAGAGCAGCATCCACGATGGCCTCCGCAGTCCTGCCACCTGTCCGGATGGAGGGTGTCAGGGTGGCACGAGCACAAGCACATGTGCTTCCATCCTTTCTGTCCATGTCCCCTGGCAGCACAGGGTCCTAACGAGTCCTGAGCTCAGGGCTGAAACCTGGGCCTGGCAGTGTATTCACCACTCAAGCCTGGAGCAGGCGTCCCCCTTGTGCTCCCACGGACACAGAGCCCCAAGCCCCAAGCCCCACCGTGAAGGCAGCTGGCACGCGCCCCACAGGAGCAGGACACAAGGACCTTAGCTGTGCAGGCCACAGCGCCACAGCCAACCAGCTGTGTCCCCAGACACACCAGAGGCACAGCGGCGGTGGGCACTCTGTAGCCCAAATTGTTATTCTAGCCAGAAATAACAGGAAAGCAGATGGCAGCTCAGAAAAACAAGTGACCATTTCCTAATAGTTACAAACAGGGTGTCCAGAAGATGAAGGACAGGGTCCCCAGTATGAGGACATCTCAGTGACCCCAATGTCCACCAGGTGCCCATCTAGCATGAGTTCCAGGTCAGCCTAGGCTACACAGAATTCCAATGCTTATTGTATATACGCTTTATGCTTACAAAGCATAGAGATGGGGGTGGGGGCAAACACCCCACAGTGACGCCAGCAGCCCAAACTCGTCCCCTCTACACTGCAGCTCCTCACTGAGAACCATGCAATGTGGCAAGAGCGACACCACTGCTGTCACTGCTGAAACTCTGTGAAAAGACCTGACCAGGTCTTTTCGCTAGCCAGCGCCTCACCATCCAGTATAACTAGGGCAGGGCAGGGCAGGGCAGACCGACCATCTAGAAATGAGGAAATTCACCAGGAGGAGCATGAGAAACTTGCAGGCAGCAGGGCTAACAAGTAACAGTTGCTATGTTCTTGTGTTCTTGCCTAGTTTGGTGGCACACACCTGCCATCCTGTACTCCAGGAGGTTGAGGCAGGAAGGTCCCACGTTCATACCCCGCCCAACTTAGCAAGCGTCTGCTCAGAATAAAAACATTAAAGAGTCAAGTGTATAGCTTTGTGTGAAGGCCTCGGAATGAATTCCAGGACTATAAAAACAAACAGAAACCTAAGTTCTCAGCTCCAAGGTAGAATACGAGGCGCATCCTTACCCTGATAGTCTTCTGGTTTGTTTTTGTTGGCTCCAAAGATCTTGATGGTAGGGAAACCCTGGACGCCATATTGGCCACCCAGGGACTGGTGTTTGTCTGCATCAACGGCCCCAACTTTTACAACATCCTGCAGGAAGAAAAGGCGGTCACTTGTGCTTCCTCCAGCTTGGACCCTGTATTCCTGCTCCCCAGTGGTCATAAACACAGCCCCACGGGTCCGAGGACAGGTGGGTGGGACAGTGACCCCAGGGGCAGTCCACTTGGCAGCAGGCCACTTCAGCACCCAGAACCCCAGAGCCTCCCCTGTAGGTAGGGAGCGTGTGCATCGCCGACCTTCAGTGCATTCGCTGCTTTCTTCCACTCGGGCGCCAGCCTCTGGCAGTGGCCACACCTTTGGAGAAGAAGGTGATGAGGGTCATCATGAGAGCTCCCTGGCCAGCAAAGACCGCTGAGGGAGGGTCCCATGACCCAGGACAGGACAACACCAAGACTCACTGACCCAATAAAAGCCCAGGGGACCATTGAGGGTAGGACCCTCAACTCCCTCAGGAAATGCAGATTACTAAGTTATGGAAGTCACATAAAAAAGGGTTGGGTGTGGCTTAGTGAAGGTGCTGGCACAAAACAAAATAAAACCCCACTGCAGGAAGCACAGCACCCAAGTAAGTACCCTCGGTTGGCTGAAAAGCACGAGACACCACACAAGAGCAGTGAATGTGTGCATACGCTCAGGTGTGCAGGGGACTGGGCAGGAGTACAAGGGAAAAATAATCTCGCAGGGACTAGTATTTTAAAGAGTTATTGCAAAATATAATACAGAAAAACACTCCAGGACCTGGGAGATAGCTCGGTGGTCTAAGCACCTGCCTGGCAAGCGCGAGGACCTGGGTTCAATCCCTGGTACCACATGCTGAGCCAGCCCTGGAAGCCCGGGCACGTCGTGTTGGCCCCAAAACCTGGCATGGTGGCACATGCCTGTAACAGCGGGGCTGGGGAGACTGAGATAGGAGGATCACCATGAGTCCAAGCTACCCAGTGAGACCCTGTACCAAATAAATAAATTTTAAAAAAAAACCAAAAAACAACACATTCCCCTCGCTGAGGTCACACATAGATGTGGGGCTCATTTTGCTGCTGTACGACAATTGTTTTTTTAATTTTTTTTTGAGATAGGGTCTCACTATGCAGTTCAGGGTGGTCTAGAACTCAAGGTGATCTTCCTGCCTCAGCCTCCCCAGTGCTAGGATCACACGTGTACACTCCCACACTTGGCTTGTGATGCCTGATTAATGCAACGCACAGCGAATCCCTGGGGGATACAGCTGCTATTCTAACAATGTGCTGACTGGGTCACTGCGACCATGTCAGGGAGAGCTTCCTGGGTGGCCCTGTCCCCTTCTCGCATGAGTGATGAGACTAAAGAGTCAGGAAACACCCAACATCACACAACTCCCAGGCACGGCTGCTCAACAGGTTTACTGATTATTTGTCAATGGGACCAGGGCCTCCCAAATGCCAAGCTTCCAGCCACTCCGGTCACACCTGTAGCGCAGCAGTTCTGGGCGGTGGGTGCCATGTTCCCTCCTGCCCGTGTACAGCATGGAGGGGCTGTGGGTGGGTATCACGACAGATCACCGTGTGACAGCCTTTACATGCACCTGGCCAGCCCTGACATGAGAGGCTGGGGACTTGGGGTCAGGGTGCACAACTGGCCAACTGGCTACTTCCTTCCCCAGCTCTTAGGCTGCAGGGATAGGTCACTGGCCCTGGCACCTGAGGTTCCTCAGCCTCTTGGTGTCCTCTCACCTCCATGACCTTTCAGCCTCCTGTTACCTGGGGATATGCTGAGGAAAACTCTGAGGGCCCATGGGAGTCTGGGCTGGGAGCTGCCGCTCCCGCTGAACGCACCGAGGCCCAGGGCTCTAGTCCATGTGGCCCGGCAGTGACCATGGCCACCTTGGTTCCTCGGGAGGGCATGCTTTCAGTGAAGCATTTTCTCTGGTACTGCAGCCCTCAAGGAAAAGGTGAATGGTCCATGACACAAAGCCACACTTGCAGCTGACCATGGTGGGGCATGCCTATAATCCCAGCACTAAGGAGGCTGAGACAGGATGATCTCAAGTTTGAGCCCAGCTTGCGCAATTTAGTGTCATAGTAAGACCCTGCCTCCAAATAAAAAAGGGCTCGGGATGTAGTTCAGTGCAAAGGCCCTGCGCTCCATCTCTAATACTACTCCCCAAAAAGTTTTTGTGAGCCTCAGCTCACAGCTCATCTTTATGGGCCTGAGCTGCTTGCACTGGCTCTGCTTGGGGACCTGCGGCTGCTGCTCCGGGGCAGTGAGTGTCACACAGTCCTGCAGCTTGCACTGAGCTTCTCTGCTCTCACACTCTGGGGTATTCTCTGCTTTACTGTGTGCAACGTCATATCCAAGCAACACATGGGGTAGAAACGTGAATCAGGCCATAACTGGGGTATTCTCTGCTTTACTGTGTGCAACGTCATATCCAAGCAACACATGGGGTAGAAACGTGAATCAGGCCATAATCCTGCCCGAATTGCACTGCATGGCCAGCCCTTCTCAAGGCAAGCAGAGTGCTCCCCCACTGGCCCTCCCTCTGCTTTGTGCTGACAGGACTTTTCCTCACAGACTCACTCCTGTGGGCCTCCTCCACACAAGGTCAGATCTTGCACTTTGAACCCCGCGGCCCACTCATGGCACGCTCACCAGGGCGCGTAGAACTCTACCAGCCACAGGCTGTCGCTTTGGATGACCTCTCGGTGGAAGTTGGTCGGCGTCAGCTCGATGACAGCATCACCAGAGGAGTAGAGACCATGGACCGCCAGGAACAGGGTACAGCTCACCAGGCCTACAGGACACAGGGCAGCAGTTGGGGGCCCTGCAGGAACCCCAGGGCCACCGGCCAGTCCTTGTTGCCCTGTCCTCCCTGCTGCCCACCCACGTCCTGGGGTCTCACCTCACCACACATGACTACCCCACTGCTCACGGCCAGCCCAAGACTGCCCCTTTAGGAAGGGCACCAAGATCATATCTAGCAGTGACCTCAGGCCACTCACATGGCATTCAGGGCCCAGGCATATGGGATGTCATGGTGTGAACTCAGGGTTTTCACGTCAACAGTGTTAGAGAAGGAGGACACTGACATCCAGATGTTAGGTGAGAGAAATTAGAAACACATGTTTAAAATAAATAGCACATGCTCCCTTCATGTAAGAAACCTTAAGTAAAAACAAAACAAAAGAAAGGATGGAGGACAGGCAGTCCAGAGAGCTGTCTCAACGGGAGAGAGGGCAAGACTCAGAGGGCAAACAACTGGGACACATTATGTGCATGGCCCAGCTCTCCATGAGGAATGTGACAGCTAGGTACCGTGAACAGACTCATAAAATGAAACTAATACGCCATCAAAAAAGGGGTAAAAAATAGGCCAGGTATGGTGGCATGTGCCTGTGATCCCAGCACTCGGAAGGCTGAAGGAGGAGGATCACTGAGAGTTCAAGGCCAGCCTGGGCTACAGAGTCCCTATGTTAAAAACCAATAAAGGGCAGGAAAGCCATTCAGCAGGCAGCCAGCCCCTCTTGGGGCTCTAGAGTCACCGAACTTCAAAGACTTTCTAGGAGAAACCCACACCCAACCCATCCTCCAGTGCTTCTCACAACATGGGACAGGGTCTGGGGATGTCCTTTCACAACCTGGTAAGCAGGGGCCCTGGTTGCTTCATCGTGGAACCCACTCTGAGAAGGCCACTATGCAGACAATGGCATCCCTGTAGGGACACTGCTGGGTGATGCCACCAGTGTGGTCTGTCATTCACAAGAAACGCTGCTGTGTGACCCCATTAAAATTAATTTTAATACTTCTTTGCCATTTTAAATGTGGTTGTCAGAAAATTTACGTAAAAGCTTTTATTGCATTTCTTTGTGTGGTACTGCTTGATTACCTTTGCTGCAAGAAAGGTTAAGTACAGCAGTCTGAGCCAGGGGTGGTGGTGCAGGACTCTAATCCCAGCACTCTGGGAGGCTAAGGCAGGAGGAGCCTAAATTTGAGCCCAACTCGGGCAACTTCACAAGATCCTGTCTCTAAAAGTAAAGGGCTGGGGATGCAGCTCAATGTGAAGACCACAAAAAAGCACAGGAGCCTCCCGTCAGCCAGAGCCCTAAGCAGAGACCATCCGAACTGCATGAGGATGTCAGGCTTGGCCCTGGAGATGCTCTACAAAGCTCTGTTATTTGCAAGTTTTGACAACTTGCTACAAACCAGATAGTTGCTCAGGACTCTGGAGCTACTGTGAAAATGTCTATAACGGTAAAGCCAAAAGCTCCAAAGGATTATAGGGATTTTCCTCCAATCTATTTGGGAAGGTGGAGCCATGTTACTAAGCTGATACAAACCGAACCTGGACTCTTCTGTTTTTCACTCCTGATGGTTCCTAACAATTCTGATACCTGCCCCAACAGGTAAGTTCCTGAGATTTTCTAAGGGAAGTCTGGCTAACACTTAAGAGAGCTGTTTAGGTACCATGAAGACAACAGGGTCTTTACTTCTGGAGACAAAGATGAGTGCCACACCACTGCTACCAGCTCCGCCTGAATGCCTTTGCGTAAGAACCTAGAGATAAGCTGGGTGTGGTGGCACACACACCTAAATCCCAGCTGTTCAGAAGCCCAGGAAAGAGATCACTGGGCCACATACCACCTCCCACCCCTTTGGTTGACACCCTGGAACGGACCATAAATTGTACCTTGGGAGGGTACATGGCTGCCGACAGTGTAACAGACTTTGGTTATCTTTCCCTCTTGTAACGGTAACGGGACTTTTTTTTTTGGGGGGGGGGAGGTCCAAGATAGGGTCTTGCTTCATAGCTCAAGCTGACCTTGAACTATGTAGCCCAGGCTGGCCTTGAACTTGCAATGATCCTCCTGCCTCAGTCTCCCAAGTGCTAGGATCCCTGGTGGGTGTGCCAGCCCAGCAAAAGTCTTAACAAGACTTTAAACTCTGCCTTTAAACTCTGCCTGCTCCCCTTAAGAACCTCCCTCCTCATACCCAAGGAAACCCTCTCCAAGGAACTGCCACCTAATAGGGTTAGAAGGGAATCAAATGCATGTTGTCACAGGTACATAAATTCTGGTAATTAAAGGTGTCCAAGAAGGGTCCCTTCCACCTGACACTCACAAACTCGTTTATGGTGACTATGATGACAAACAAAGCTGACGCTGACCATCAAGACCTGCTGCTGAAATTCACAGGGCCCTCTGCGTCCTAGGAACATCTGAGGGGACAGCACGCCCTCATCTATGGCTTCCAGCCTCCTCGCAGCCCGCAGCAGGCACCATGGGCCCGAGGGTCGGCGAAAGAGCTATCTCTGCTGACTGCAGCAACAGGACAGAATCAGCCTTTGCGTCTAGCCTGGCTGCCCTCTCTGGAGACCAGAGGCTACAATCCCCTTCCCTCTTCTACTCTGGTTGGCACACCGTGGCAGGCTACCTGGCCCCGAGTCACACAGCAGGTGAACGGAGCGGCCCAGCCTGGTCCCCGCACCTCCCGTGCCCGGGCTACATTACCAGCATCCGAGCGCGGGCTGTGACCCGGGCAGGAGAGACCTCGAGCCTGCCCACCACGGTCGCAAGCACTGACCCCTCTCTAGGGCCGGGGCTCTGAGGCGCGGGGAGTTCAAGCCCATCTCCACGGTCCCTGTCGCCAGACGCCCGGCTAAGGCACCACACCCTTTGTGAGCAACCATCAGTCCTGCCACAGGACGGGGCTCTGCTCCTTCGGGGCTCTTTACTTTGGGGGTCCTGATGGCCTTCTTACCTAGCAGCAGCCCTTTGGTATTTTGAGAAAAGATCTCGCTAAGCTGCCAAGTCGTTCAGGCTAGGCTGGAGCCTGCGACCCTCTTGCCTCAGCCTCTCAGAGCGCTGGGATCACGGGCGTGCGCCCCCTACCCGGCTCAGGATCGGTGTGTGGAAACGGCACACGCTGGGCAGCCAGGGCACAGCGCGGGGGTCCTGCGCACTCAGGCTACAGGGGAGGCCTGGACCAGGTTCCCCGTTAAGCCGGGCTAGGGACTCGGGCCCGCGGCTCGGCCCAGGCCTCCCCCCCGCGGCCCCGCAGAGTCTCCCACGGCCCCCTCGGCTCCGTCGAGCCCCCACCGCTCGCTAGTCCCGCGCCTACCGAGCCTTACGAACGCCATGCCGAGCCGCCGTCCGCACGCCGTCCCGCCTCGGCCGCGCCGCACGCCGATGGGCGGGGCAGCGCGGGGAGGGGACCCGGCGGAAGCGCTCAACGCGCGTGGCCGCGGCCTATTGGTCGGGACGGACATCGCTCACGCGTACGGCCAATAACAGGCGGCCGGGTAGAGGTTAGGGGTTTGTTTTTTCCACGGGGCGGGCCGTGCCTGGTAAACTGGGATCTTTGCGTGCGGCGTGGGTGCTCCGTGCCTTCCTGTCCCGCGTCTGGGGTACTGCCTGCTCCCTCCTTGTTCTCTCTGTCCTTTAGGGTGACCTCTTGAGTCGCCTCTTCTCTTAGCTCTTTTCTTCTTTTTTTTTTTTTTTCCGTGGTCCTGGAGATTGAACCCGGGCCTTTCACACTGCTAAGTTCTGAACCCTTTGCTATTCTTAGTTTGGGACGGGCCCTCACCAAGTCCTTAGCTGGCCCAGGCTGAGACCCTCCTGTCTCAGTCTCCACCACACCTGGCTTCTCCCCCAACCTCGTTCCTGCCTGGGGCCGAACAAGTCTGGGCCTTTGGCATGTTTATGGGCTTAGTAAACGACATGTTAGTAACTCATGTGCAGCCAAAAATCTCTTGCCAAGCTCCTTAAGCAACATTTTTGTATTTTTTGGTACTGGGAATTGCACTCAGGACGTGGAGCTTGCTAAGCAGGCCTGCCTGCTCCGGGCCTTAAGCAGTACCATTTGCTGGTCTTTGTTGCTTTCCAAATCCCCTCCTCCAGGGCCTTGAACACTCCCAACCTTGGTCTCCACAGAACCTGAGGTTTAAACTGCATGATTCTTCCTCCAAAGGCCTCCCTTTGGTGAAGGTACTAGCAATGCCTTTGTCCGGACCAAGTAAGATCTGCAAAAGTCAACTTTATTTTTGTTTTTTGAGGGGGACAGGGTCTAGTATGGGGCTGCTCTTGGCTGCCTTTACCTGTGCCTGGTGGACCCCAGCTTCAGACCCTGCAGTGTGGTGTCTCCAAGAGCCTGGTGTCTCGGGTTTGTCACCTGTGGTCGCGGCACCCAGTGCAGTGGGTTCAATGACTCCCATGTTCCATCCCCCGCCTTCCAGGCCTGGGCTGTGGGGACATGGAGCCAGCCCCAGGCCTGGTCCCTCTCCTTTCTTCCCAGATGTGTGACAAGTGCCCAGCATGGGGATATTCCGTAAACCTGGAGTGTCACTGGGGGCTTTGTGCCCAGAAGGGTCAGTCACCTGTGACTCACCTGGGGCTGGGAATACAGATACAGTTAGGACAAGCACAGAGCGGGAGAGCAGAGACCAAGGTCCCCACTCCCAGGCCCTGTGCCACAGAGGGGCCTAGGGAGGCCACCACCCCTGCCCAGGCCCTGCTGCCCTGTGCGAAGCTTGGGTAACACGAGATGCAGAGAGCATCACTTCCTGGGGGACTCACGGCACCCAGGGCTCTTCACCATGCGCTGGCGCCAGTGACAGCCTGTGGGCGGCAGGGCTGCGTTGGAGCCCTCTCTCCAGGTGATGGGATCCAGAGTCAGGTTCCGAGAGTGGAGCAGAGCACATGTGATGGGTGTCATGTCCCAGAGTGACCTGGAAGCCCCTGACCTCTGCCTGAGCCACTCTCCTGTGTCCCACCCTCCCACTCCAGAACCAGGCCGAGATAAGAGGCTGTCATCCTCACACTCTGGGAGGCTGAGGCAGAAGGATCTTCAGTTTGAGCCTAAGGTGGACAGTATAGTATCTTAGAAAGACCCTATGTGAGACCTAGAAATACAACACAGGGCTGGGGATATAGCTTAGTTAGAAGGCCCTGGATTTGATCCTCAGCACTGAAAAAAAAGCACTGGCCAGAGGAAAAGTGGGAGGGAGCCCCTGGTCTTCCCACAAAGCACTCAAGAGCCATCAAAAGCTGAGCAGCCCCTTCACGGGTTTCTCTGGACCAGGGACCTTGCAGGCCCAAACCCAGCCAAGCACTGATGTTGTCCACAATTCAAGCTTGTTACTTTTTTTTTCTAAATGTGGCACACGCACCTGTGATCCCAGCACTCGAGAGACTGAGGCAGGAGGACCATTATGAAGTTCAAGGCCAGCCTCGGCTCCACATGAGATTTTATCTTGAAAAAGAAAGCAAAGGACTGAAATCAGAAGTGTGGTGACCAGGGCAGGAGTAACCGTGAAGGACGCAGGGGTCTAGGATGTCTTGAAGGATGGGGACATTCCTGTCGTGGTCGTGGTGACTGTGTGGCTGTGTATAGCCATCAGAACTCCCCACCTGAAGACTGGCTGCTTCTGTGTGGATGGGCTCTTGCCACGGCCAGCGGTTGTGAGGAGTTGGAACAGAGCAGCCCTCCTCGCTGCCCTTGCCTGGGCCCCAGCCCTGTGGGGTGGGCAGGTGCTGAGCTGTCCGCACTACTCACTGCTCAAGGCCGGAAGGTGAAACTGACCCAGCCCCTTGCCTGGAGCCTGAGATCCCAGCAGCAGCAGCTTCCAGCTTGGGCTCCTGCCCCAGCAGGGCATCTGCAGGCATCCACGTAAGCCACAGAGCAATCCCAGGGCCTCTGCGCTCAGCAAGACCCTGCCGAGCCAGGTGTGCACAGGCTGGGCCCTAGTGTGCCATCCTCCTGCCTCCTGCAGACAGTGGTCCAGATGTGCACCACACACCTGGCTGTGGACCTCTTTGTCAGTGCTTCCCAGCGTGGCTGTGCTGATCAAAGCCCCTTCCTGACCCTCGCCACACTTAGCTCCTCAACTGCTGTCGAGGGAACCATGGCTAGGGTTGGTTTTCCATACAGGCCCTTGGACTGGGACTTGCACCTGTATCACAGGAGTAGTAGTGGCACAAAGCAGCCACCAGGGGGTGCTTCGGCCCTAATTCTATGCGAGTCCCTTTACACTGCATTTTCTACTTCAATAAAATGCGCACCAAAAAAAAAAAAAAAAAAAAAAAAAAAAAAAAGCGCACATTTTGAAATCAGCCCTGGTAGCACCTGCAAAGCCACCTGTGCCACACGGAGAGCCTGAGCTCAGGGACCCCGATCCATGGTGCTAGGGTCCTGGAGCTCCCACATACCAGACCCTGCACACAATGTGCTCCTACAGGGGGTTGGGAGAAATGGTTGTGGAGCTGGGGGTGGGGCTGAGCGCCTGAGAAACTAGCACTCAGGAAGCCAAGGCAGGAAGTTCTCCATGAGTTCAAGGCCAGCCTGGACTACACAGTGAAGCCCTAGCTCCAAAACAAAACAAGAAAAACCCCTCCTCCTGAGAACCTTTAAAGAATACTGGGTTGCATAGGTCCTGCTTTATCTTGGTCTTAACCATCCAGCAGAAAAGTATAAAAACAAAATATAAGAAGTAAAGCCATGCTGTTATGTTGAGCTGTGGGGGACTCAGGTCAACAATTTCTGACATTGCCAGTCAAGCGGGAGACCCAATACTATTATGGGCTACTGGACTATTCTGGACCATTTTGCTGAGTTCACATACCTATAATATTTAAATGACACAACTAAACAAAAAAAGAGGATACAGATGAATGACCATTTTGAATCTGTGTATTCAAAATGGTTAGGATAGATATATAGCTACAATCTCTCAATTGAATGAATAGAGGGATTTGTTCTAATGGTGTTTGTAAGTAGGATACCATGTCTGCATCTTGTGCAACAAATAACAACTAGGAAGACAATATGCAACGTGTTAATTATTGAAACTGTCCTACCAATTTGATTTGAAACTGTCTCACCAATTTGATTTGAAAGTATCTGATTGCTATTTGTTTCTCAATAAAATTATGGAAAAAATAAAATAAAATAAGGACAGGATATCATGTCTGCATCTTGTACTATGAATAACTACTACGAAGACAACAATGCAATGTATTAATTATTGTAACTATCTTAATAAAATTAATAAAAATAAAGTAAATTTACTAGAAACAAATAAAAAAGAATACTGGGCATTAGGGATTCTCTGGCTCACTCTTTCTTTCTTACGGGATTGAACTCAGGACCATTAGCTTGCCAGGCAGGTGCTTATTTAACTGAGCTATCACCCTAGGCCGGGATTCTCTGAATGGCAAAATCCCAAAAGCTTAGAGAGCAAGCAAAAAAATCCCCAGTGAATTGAGGTCTGAGAAGAGATTAAAGAGGTGAAAATCTGAAAAAAAAAAAAAAAAAAAAGTGAAAATCACACATCGGCTCAGAAGCAGGCTCTTCCTATGCTGGCCATGGATGCGGGCTGTAGCAGTGTATTGTAGAGAGAACAGTAAGTACTCTAGGGGAAGAAAGAACCTTCTGGAAACTCCGGATTCCTGAGTGGCTTTTCTTCTTGGACCTGAGGCCTCTGCTGTGCCTGACCATTCTGTGCTGACCTCCGGCGAGCATCAACCCCATGGCATTATTATTATTTTTTATGTGTTTAGTGCAGGGTCTCACTACACAGATCAGACTTGTAGTGATTCTTTCTGTTTTTCAGCCTCCCAAGCGCTGGGATTACAGGCCTGTGCCACCACGCCCAGTCTCATTTGCCGTCTCAGCATGCCCCAGGGACAGGGCCAACACAGCAGGCCAGGGATCGAGCCCAAATTCCTGAGTCTGCCTAAGCAGGCACTTTAATCCTGTGATCTATCTGGCCAGACCCCCATGGCATTATTTTTTGTCCCTTTAGACTAGGACTCCAAGAGTCACACTAGTCCCCTAGTGCTTGGCCTGGAATAAGCAGGTATTTAGTAAATATTTTTGTTTCTGTTTTTTTTTCCCCCCATTGGAGGTGGTTTGAGGCAGGGTCTTGGTATGTAGTCCAGGTATGTATGTATGATATGTAGTCCCTACTCTCACTGTGTAGCCCAAATTGGGCTTGACCTGGTAGCAATCTTCCTGCCTCAGCTTCCCATAGTACTAGAATTCCAGGCTGGCACTACCCAGCCCACCCATTGTTATTTTAGATCTGGGTAGCTGAGAGGTTTCAGACTCACCCAGGTCCCAGGACTGGAGGAGGGGACCATGTCCCCAAGTTGGTTG